TAAGATTATGAGCTTTAATAAGTAAAATTATCCCAGCTACAATGACGGACAACAAATATTACATTTATAGTATTACAACTAAAACCGTTTTTTGACGACGCCACCGCAGTTTGTCCTTCATGAGCCTTCGTAGACAAGATGGCGGTGCAAGATGGCGGCTGCCTGTAGTGGTGACCCGCGACCATGGAGACATAAACAGCTTTTTAAAAGGTAAAAATAATAAAACAAGGTCTTTGTCTGCAATGATTAGACATGTTTTTTTCATTATTGTCATTAGTGATAATCTCAATTTCGGCTAAAAGAATTGACAAAATCCTACACACTGTGCCTTTAATTTCTTGAAATTTTATGTCAAACACCCAAATTATAGAATGTTGTTTAATGATATTTATATGCGCACCATTGTTCTTTAAAAACATCCATAAAGTATGACGAAAAGGTTATATTTTCTCATTTTTATGATCCGGTCATGAGAAAAATAACTCAATAAAATTACTAAATAACTAAATAACTTTTTTGGTCCAGTTCTTACCTGTTAATTTTAAACACAAAATTGTTCCTCCTCGTCAGTCTACATTACAAATCAGACTTTTTCAGTTTCAGAGACATCCAGCAGTGAGGCTGGGAGCTGTCATGCTGCCTGCTGGATTTTTTACCCAATAAATCGCAATCAATTAAACATCCTCACCCAGTTATATCTTCTGCATCTGAGTCCCCCCCCTTAAGTTGAATTTTTTTAAGTTTTTAATTCTGATCTTTCTGGGTCAGGATCTAACATCACAGGCAGCCAGCCGTCGGGTTTCTGCGTGTGACTGATGGAGCGTCTGGTTTTTTAAAAAGCGGCTCTAAAATCTATCAGCCTGCAAATTATTTTTTGGGGAAAAAAAAAACCAACAATAAAATTCAGCGCTAAAAACCGTTAGATGACAGAGAGAGAAGAGCACTCACCTGCTCGGGCAGCCTTGCTTGTGTCTGCGCCCACAGACTGTGCCTCCTCATCGCTCCACTCCACAGACACGGTAGAGGCGTGCGCGTCAGGCGCGTGCTACACGGAGCGGCGCCAGAGGTCCGCGCGTCGTTTGGAGGCGCAGAAACGTCCGGTCGCTGATGGGGTTCGCTCCCGAGCCCTTCTGCATCTCCTCAACGAGCCGCTTCTTTTTTGTGTCGCGCGTGATGAGCTCATTATCCGTGCAGGTGAGTGTGTTCATGCAGCAAGCAGCCTTTCCTCTCTCACTGGGCTTCGGAAAAGTCAACACAGACGCTCGCGTGTGTGCGCGTGCATTTTATGTATTTATTTTTACCAACCACTTTTTGGTTATACTATAATATATTTTGTAAACATCTCTTTAATTTACCAATAATACAATTTAAAATCCACTTTCAATCGAATGAAAATTTGTGCAATCTCATGAATCACTGTAAAAATCACTGATTTAAAGCCGTTTTAATGTTAAGTAGCTGCATCAAGTTTTTATTGTCTTGATTCCAAAATTTATTCAGCTGTATGTGGCCAGCTCGCTAAAAGCTCCAATAAAATCTATCCAGCAGTTAATAAGATATTTTGCTAATAGACAAAGTTGACTCCAACGGTTGAAGGCTGAAAGTTTAGTGACATTTTACCTGTGGACAATCAGCAGCCATGCCAAGTTTGAACACGCCTGTGAAATTGGCTAAATTATGTCTGTTTTATGTTTGAGACGATGAGTTTGATGGGTTGATCATCTTTAATCTGATTGGATCTAAATTTTATTCAGTTATAGAGGCCAAACTTCCTGAATGTGTCATTAAAGTCTGATTCTCGATATGTTTCGCTAACAGACAGATGCACAAAACACACACTTTTGCAACCTTTTGCACCTTTTTGTCAGCAGGCAACAATCCAATTCAAAACCAATCCAGATTATAATCAAGTTACATATAATTCAATCTGCCAAATCAATAAAAACGTTGAAATCAGCTAAATGCACTAAAGCATTATTTCTGTTCCTCCCTGACGCTCCCAGCCAAGCTGTTTTATGATTATGAGCCACATTTCATGACCATTTGGCAAAACTGATGAACAGAGAAGCATTTTCATTATTGCAGATTAGGCCCATTAAGCCTGATTTAAAGTCAATGAGAAGGGCCATTCTCAAAAAAATGAGACAAAAAATGCATAGTTTGCTTCTCTTTCCACCTGCTGAGACGCTGTCTTGTCGTGTTTTTGTAAAGTAGCTGCTGTGAGCTGATTTCTGAGAGCAGCATCTGCAGTTTCTGCTGGCTGAGAGTGTATGGAAATACAGCCAACATTACAACTGTTCCTGCAGAAATGACAAAGAAAGTCAAATAAAACATATAAAGATACTGGGAAAAAAACTTGTGGAAGGAGATTGGACAACTGGAGACAGCATGGACAACTGTGACTCTCTGACCAGTCCTCAGCTGGACAGCGCAGCGACACGTTCCTACACCATCTGTTGCAAACGGTGGTGGTCTCTTTGTAACAAACATACAAAGTAGTGTTCTCCCAAACAAAAATGCCAAATCCTCCATCAGCAACTAAAAATAATCCATCCTAATAATTGCGCTCTCTGTGCTCATTCTGATGCGCTTGATGTCTGCTGCAGTGGGAGGACATATCTGGAGTTATCCTCCGCAGTTTTTCCTTGAGTGAACAGTCTTAAACTACACAATGAGAGTTCCGTCATGTTGCATCCTGGAGTATAGTGGATGTTTCATTGGTGAACAAGAGTCCTCAGCTCTTCCAGAGACTCAGCATTCTATCTTTTTAAAGTTGAGCATCATGACTTCAAACCTAGAGGAGCTGACTCAGCTCTGCCACTTCACATTTGGCTGCAAACTGCTTCAGTACGCGCTGAAGATTTCGAAGAAACATCATCTGCCAAGAAGGTAAATATGAGACCCTAAAGCGTGCTGCCACTTAGTCTCGCTGATGTACTTTCATAACAAAACTTGCAACTTTTTCTTCTTGCACAACACCAAGACCCCGTCTCACGCATTGACCCTCTCAGAGCTACTGTCTCGCAGGTTATGCACCAAATATTGTGCGACTGGTCAGAAGTTTGTGGAGTACGTGGACCTCATTATGTTGAAGAGAAACAAAAGTTCCAGCGTTACCCATAATGGTAGTCAAATAAATAAATATAGTGAAAATAGTTGTGGAAGGAGAATGCACACTTTTAGTGTTTGGAGTAGAGGGCACAGAGACACAGGCGGCTCCCAGTGGCTGTGTTGTCCGAGAGGGAGTTCTCCTCGGCCGGCCAGCGTAGGGATATATTCTCACGTCTGTCAGCAATGGTGGTAGTTTCTTCCTGACAAATTTATAAAATGGGACTTCTTAAGCTGCATTTCCATTGCAAATGTGCACAAAACTTTGTCGATATTCTGTTAATGTCGAAAAACACAGTTTCGCAATTGCAGCGTTTCCATTAAGTAAGAAATGCTATTAAAGTCACACGTGAATACGCTTGTTCTCGCGATAACTCATTACAAACATAGCGGCAATAGATGTAAACACATAGCATGTTACTACCACGACACTAGCGCTCATCATCAGCCATCAGAGGAGACGTCGGCGTCTTTTTGAGGCTTTCGAGTGACAAGTCCCTCATACTTGGGAGCGGCTATGTATGCGACATTTTTGGGAAAATGTAGTCGGTGTGTTTAATACTTTCTTTTACTACTTCGGTGATTTCACTACTACTTCTACTTTCTGTTTTCTTCTTCATCATCTTTTCACCAGTAGAAACAGCTGGCTCTTGATCACGTGACTACAGTGAAGAGAAAAAAGTGTTTCCATTGCAGTTTTGTGAAATAAATCAATTTCGATATGGCCGAAAAACCACCTCTTCCTAAATTGACATGTTTCCATTGAGCAAATTTATTTTCGAAATTCTAATTTGCGCATTTGCATGGTCAATGGAAACGCAGCTTTAGTTGACAATAGAAATATCAGTTTTTCATCCTCCAAATCCTCAATCATCAATTGAAAATAAATATCCACTTTGCCAGCTGTGCTTTTGCTGTGTTGTTTCTGTTTAATGTGAGCTACTGTGTAGAGGTTTTACCTTCTCCTCCTGCAGGTTTGTTTTTGAGTAGAAAATGTCCATACAAGTAGGAACATCACACACAATGTCAGTGAGATCCAATGTCTTACAATTGTCAAGATTGGGATCTCCCAAAGGGGAAGGACTCTGGAGTTGATGGCTTAAATGCAGGAACACAGAGATCAAAAGCAAAAATGAGTTTATTAACCAAAAATCTTCAGGGCTTGACAGCAGTAACTTAGCTCAAGACTTTAAAAAACATACGTAGCAGACTCGGGAACAAACTTGATTCTTGAAAAAAATACAAAGATGCTTGAGACAGTATTATTCACGGACACTAGAACAGCAGGACCCGACAGCAGGCAATGCACCCACACCAGACAGACACAGAACACAACTTAAATACACAAAGGACTTATTAGGAGTAGTGGAAACACCTGGGAACAGGAGGGCAAACTAAATGACAGAAAACAGAACACACCTGAGACAGACAGAAGAAAACCCAACCAAATAACCCCACAACACAAAACCCAAACAAACCAAATAACCTCACCGTGACAACATTTAGTGAAAGATAACCACAGCTTAAGGGTTCCAGAACCAAACGTCCTCTTTTGCCAAGTATCGTTTGAGATACAGTCCATAAATACAGCCTGCAAAAATACATGCTCATCTTAAGTTTTATTATTTTATGTGAAGGTACTTTTTAGCGTAACACAGAGTATCATTATTTGACAGTACATGGTGTACATTGAAAACAGGACTTTAATAGAACAGTTCTTAGTTCTGTCCTCACTTCTCTGCAGCTTATAAAGGTTTATTCATGTGAAATCTATTCAGAAACTACTTCAGTGTAATAAACTGTATAATAGTCAATGAAATTGTAGACTTGAACTTGACACCTGTATCTCCAGCAGTATCAACAGCTAAAGTCCACAGAAAGTGTTGCTTTTCTTTCCAATAACATCTTATGGTAAATGGTACTGAACTTATAGAGCGCTTTTTAAGTCCCTCCGGACCCCAAAGCACTTTACACTAACAGGCATTCACCCATTCACACTCACATTCACACACTGATGATGGCAAACTACACTGTAGCCACAGCTGCCCTGGGGCACACTGACAGAGGTGGGGCTGCCATGCACCGGCGCCACCAGACCCTCTGACCACCAGCGGTAGGCAAGGTGGGTGAAGTGTCTTGCCCAAAGACACAACGACTGAGACGGCTGGACGGGGGGGTCGAACCAGCGACCTTCCGGTTCCAGGACGACTCCCGTAACCACTCCGCCACAGCCGCCCTTCTTATGCAGTTGTTCACCTTTTGCACTGAAATTTGTTAAGAGGATCTTTCAGTCCCTTAAAGCCCTGCAGTGCTGTGAGTCACACAGGATTAAAGCTGCGGTACTTTGACTTCCTGAACCTGAGGCTAATTATGAGCCGCGTTAGCTGTGCCAGTGACTAACTGTTTCTGACAATGCTGACGGTCAAAAGGAGGTCGGAGAGAACCGAATGAACAGCTGCATGTTTTTACAATTGTTTCTGAATGGGCAGAGAAATGATTGATCTCATGTGCTTTGAGGATGCTCCCCTTCGCTGTTGGATTTCAAAACAACTAATTTCAAGGATTTCTTTATCCGTGAGCTTTGTATACAGTCTGACAGCTCATCCTTTTTTTTTCTTTGAAACTGAACACGTTAAGATATTTTTATTATATTTCTTTAAAATAAAGAAGTCATTATTTTTTAAATTAGATTAAAAGCAACCAGGAACTGGAGAGAAAGGCACTTCATCTGCACCTCAGGCCACAGCATGTTCAAAACTGTCATTTTCTGCTTTGTGTATACCTTCTACCCATACACAAACTGAGTTTTTTGTGAAAGTTTTCCTAATGGTAACTTTTAAAAACTTAATTTGTGATGGATTCACAGAAACAAGAAACAGCTATTCCCATGCTTAGCAGCCTATTTTGAGTTACAGTACATTATGCTGTAAAAACACAAATATAAAGGTGGTTTTTTTTACATTTTGTCAAACTTAGATCATGTGCTAAAATTATCATTTCAACCTGGAAACACATGAAGACATGCTGAAATTAAG